TTACCTTTCCAGACCATTTCTTGTCTTTCCTCGATATATACGCACTGTACCTGCTCTCTAGCGTGGGAAAGAGATCACAAAAGCCAGAAGTATTCGGTGTACAAATTTTCCAAAACTAGAATTACATGATCATGGCCAAGGCCAGGAAAGAAAGCAGACTCGCCAGGTTTTTGAAGTCCCCAATAAGGATTTTAATCAAGGCCAGGGACTTCTACATCAAGAGCATGACAGAGTGCTCGGGTACGTTTGATTATGCCTCGGCGATGGGTTGCCCTACCCAAATCCCAAGTTCTTTGCCTAAAAGCTACAGCACCAACTCCACCAAATCCAGCGCCTCTAACAATGAAGATTACAGGGAGCTTATGAGGGCTGCTTCTACTAGGAGTGTAAGAAGTAAAGTTGAATTCGATCTTGCTAGAAAAGCGCAACAGCCTAGGCAGCCGGAAATGGCGGCAGTGCTCAACACCGTGCCTCGCAGTCGTAGCGTTGGGATTGGAAGGATTGATGAAGAGAAGGCTTGTGAGTTTGATGAAGAGGAAGTCAAGATGAAGAGAGATGTGTATCCAAGAAGTAGAAGCTACGCTGTTTCTAGGAGAACAATTATGTCGTAGTTAATGGAGCAAATTGTGCAAGTCAAATATGAAAGAACAAATTAGAAGGGAGGCGGACTATCTCTCAAAGTCAATTGTTTTGTGCTGATGTTAATCCTAATTTCTTCAAGTCTTTTAGTTAAGTTGATTGTTGGTAGGGATTTTGAACCAACATTAATGTTTAGTTTGGAACTTTTGTTGTAGCTTTTGTGATTCTTAAATTAATTGTGAGATATATATAGAACTTCAATTAGTACCTTTTTTCTTCATATATATATATAGAGGAAACCGTATATTGCATTTATAAATCAAGCACAAAGGCTAATCATAAAGGCCAGTACAAGAACAACTATAAATACCTTAGGGTTAATATAAATATAGAAACGCAGTAACCACGAAAGGTTAATTCATATAAGAGAGAGAACACGGGCATCAACATTGTACATTCTTCTGCTAGCCGCTAGCTCATTTTGCATGTCATCAAATCTCTATTGAGTATTTGAAACAGTCCTAGAATATGAAAAATATATAAATTTCTAATAAATGTTCTAGTTAATGTTCTCTTCCAAATGCAGATCATCAATCGTCCACTATTTCACGTAGAAAACAGTTGAACAAGTTTGAGTTAGTTGGCCAATGTCTTTCATTATTTGGACCCTTGGAAAAAAAAAAGGGATTTGCAAAACCAAAATGCACGTGGTTGGTGGAATTCCTTTATTCGGAGTAATTTTCCATTGGGCTTTTTGGAGTAGTTTAATGGAGTGGTGGGTTATTTCTTTAATTTAGAGTTAATTTTAAAGTCATCGCAAAATGTTAATAAATAGAAAATATTGGCAAACAACTTGATAGTGTTGAGCCACTAACATGGATGATACAGTAAGTTTTGGATGACGGTGCTATCTGTGTGGACAACTCTCTAGCCATCAAGTCAATTCTCTTAAAATTCGTTTAAAAAAA